ACTCATTAGACTAATGTCCTTGCTCCTCCTAAAAACCTATCCCAATTGAATTTGTGCTTATACCGTATTGAAAATCTTTTCAGTTGTAGGTAAGAATTATCTGTGTTTATCATCAGAAGCAGGTTGGTTGTCTTAAAACAAGTAAGATTAATGATTCAGTAAATGATTTGCTGAACAAGGGTATTCGAACTATTGACTGAGCCAATTTGGAGATATTCTTTAGATCTCAAGTTCTCAAACTTCTCTTCTACATAATTATTAGAGATTTATGAGATGTGGCTATACATACTCTGAAAAGAAAAAAGGTATTTTATTTAAGGACAAAGGGAATTTAGAGCAAAATGGAAAGAGGAAAAAAAAAATACTCCAAAGCTTGATACCTTCAAATCAGTTAAGCATCACTTGATCTGATCTTCCCTATTTCCTCCCTTTCCTCCTCCCTTCCTTTCTTTTATCTTTCTATCTCTTTTTACAAATATTCTAACTTTTCTTAAATTTTGAAGTGGATCATCTATCAGAACTTAAATCATTGAGAATATGTAAATTGATTGCCCCAGAAATTTGACCTCTTCACTTTTATAGCCTAGTCTTTAACTCCTTACATTCTTACTCTAATCTAAATCTTTAGAGTTGCTAGAACTCCACTATGTATTTTCTCATGCTTATTCTAGAAAAACTGAAGATAAGGAAGGATCCTGAGAAGAAGAAAAAAGCAGAAATGACAATCCCACAATCCACCACTATTAATGTTGTATGTATTTTGCCAATCTTGTCTACATAGAAACAAAGTTAAAATACATTTTTATGAGCTCTTCATTAGTCATTAAACATTGAAATAAAAGGTGTTTGTAGCCACTGCTCAGCTCAGAGAGGTCTCCAGCTGATTCAGTTCATCTCTCATCAACCCCACTCCACCCTTCACTGCTACTCAAGGTGCCAGGGCCCCACTGCCCCTCACTTTGGTCCACTATCCTCGTGTGTTTGGAGGAAAGGTATTTTCTCAAGGCATTTTCTACTGGGACTGAGCAAAGTTCTAGAACATATACAGCCTGTACTGTAGATGGGTGGTCCTTGAAAGCAGTGTTCTCTGTAGATAAGGTGAAGCCTTTACCTGCTATTACACCAAAGAATGATTGCTTTTATCCCTGTACAAACACCAGAAAGAGCTGGTGAGGTTGTGTAGGGGCTTGTCTGTTCTGGCTACTACAGTGGACTTCTTGGTGTGTCTGTGTGTGTTTTTTGTAATATGATATGTCCTTTAAGTTTGTTCCTCATAATACCCATCCTATCCCTGTTTTCCTTTCTAGTCTCTTGAAAATAGACCTTTTATATTAATAAATGTTTGGAATGTTAACACTGATGCTGAAGCAAACAGTGAAAAGTCATCGGGTGTTTTTGGAAGTAGCATGGGAGGAAGACTAGAGACAGGGATAACACTTGAAGTGTGGGTGAGAGATGACAAAGGCCAGAACAAGGCACCAGCAAATGGAGTAAAGAGGAGGGGCAACTAAGAGCTCTGCAGTGACTCAGTAGCATTCCCATGATGCTCTACACTTTCTGCTACAGATACAAGTGTCCCAGCGTTCAGCTACCATTAACAGTGGCTTTGTTCACCTAGCTGTGGTCCTTGTCCCACCCCACCCCAATTCACATCCCCTGGACTAATGTTTAAAACCTGTCAAACATGTCCTACATTAATAAGTAAGTAGCACTGAGGCAACAGTTGTTGAGAATAAGCCATCAGATTTCATGTGACGAACACTGATGCTGATACCATTTAGGCTATCACCTTTGTGTTGCATGACTATCATTGTGCTCTTAGGTAGGGAAGGAAGAGGTAGACCCAGGAGAATTTCTGTGAATTATTACAATCATGTATACTTGAAGATTTTTTTGTCAGTGAGCCAGGGCAGAGGGCCTGGTGGAGAGATGTGAGAGAGCAGAGAAGGATTAGTAAACAAATTGTGTGAAATGTTTTAAACCTGTTTAGAAGCTTTTGGCACTCATCCTCTTTCAGGAGAAGGAAGCAAGTGTCATATGCTTTCTAACTGTAAAGGTACCCAAAGCCATATTTGTAAGGCAGTTCGTGCAGACAAGTGTGAAGGAGCAGTTGAGAGAAGGGAAGGAGTTAGGGAGGGAGAAAATAAGTCTGTAGTTCCATATACTATTACCCTTAATACACTTTTTGGGGGGTCATTTATGCAATGGGAAGGGAGACATCAGCCTAGTTTATGCCAAATCATTATAAAACTTGAATTTAGAGGCACCCATATTAATGAAGTGTTCTTGAATTTATACAGTGTCAGAGATCACATCTCATTGTATCCTAAAAGACAGACCTCAAAGTGATCTTTCAGCTCTCCCAGAACATGATGTGAAATGACAGATGTACATCCTGGATTGTGAGAAAATATTGTAGTGTTGGCAGCTATTTCCTGGCTTTCATATCATTTTGTGCTTTTTGCTTCTCTTCCAAATGCATTGGTGCAAAAGCTCTGTGGAGACAATAATGATGCTTGTTGGAGTGTATACATAAGATGCCTTTTCAGGAAAATTAATAACCTCTATTTTGATTTGGATGATGCTCTTACAAGGTAATTGACAGAGAGATGCTTTAAAATGTGAACCAAAATATCAAATTCATACCATTATCCATGTCCCCGCTGTTACTGATTCTAGATTCTGATTGATAGGTTGGCCCTATTCTTTTTGTCCCTACCATTGCTGCCGAATTCGTGAAGAGGGCTTTCAACTTGAAGTAGTAGCCATAAAAAAATTGAAGTAAAACCTCTTCTGAGTTGATGGAGATGGCAGTGTTATGCCAAAAATATGGCTCATTTATGAGGTTTCTTCATTAGTCATAAACAATTTATTGTCTTACATTTTGGGGGCCCTATATCCACCCTAGACCAGAGGATGTAAGATCAAGGGAACCAGGTTCCAGAGAAGTTAATTGACTTCTGTATGGTGGTCTCATGGTTAGTTAATGTGGGAGCTATGGTTGGATCCCAGGTCTCATGGAGTCTGGAGATGAAGTGTTGAAATGGAGTTGCTGTAATATAGATATTAAGAGAGATGGATGAAAGGAAACCAGAGATGAGTCAAATGAACAGAGAAAATCATAGCTTTAAAAGTTTTAGAAGGATGGGTGGGCAGATATTCCATTCATGCTTTATATAGTAGACACACATCATAAACACATTTATTAAATGTGAACTCAACCACACTTTAAGAAAACTACAACAGCTATAATAAAATAGGGTGTTTATGTCAGGTGACTCCTAAATACAACCGTTTCATCTGGTGTTCAACTAGAGAACAATGATAGATTCCAAGGCAGGATAGACACATCAGCTGTGTTAGTTAGAACTTGTGAGATCTGATACTGTAAAATATCAAGGCTATTTCTACTGTTATTCTGTCTTATACACAAGATCAATGCTCAATGTAAGATGAAAATTTACAGTACTCAGGCTTTTTTTCTGATAAAAAGAAAAATTTCTGTGAATCAATTAATAGTTTACTTTATAAGCAACAACTTTTTCCTAATTTTTCAAATATTTCTGCCCAGGAATCATTTTCAGCATGAAATCTAGTGCAAATTTTTATATACTTTTAAAATATGTATTTTAAAATACAGGTGTGGGCAAAAGTATGTGTACAACTGTAGGCAAAACACAGAGTTTATTCTTTGGACTTAATAAAGGTATTGTAATAATCATTATCTGTATATGTTTTTCCATACAAACAACTAAAAACCTACTTTGAACAACCCCTGTATATAAAAACATTTCAAAACATGAGCTTTAGGCTTGAACTTGAGTCTATTAAAGACATTTCTCAAGGTTCTTTTGCTCAAAAAATAGAATTGAACATTATTGCTTTTTAAAATATGCTCTTGAAATGAAACACACATAATGAAAAATACACATAGCAAAAGGGTAGAGTGGATGAGTTTTCAAAAAACTGAACACTCCTATGTAAACAACATGAAGATTATTAAAAAAAAAAAAAAAAGTTGAAAGAGATCAACCAAAGGACTTGTATGCATGCAGATAAGCACAACCAATGGACGAAAAACTCTGGGGAGGGAGCGCATGTATGGGGTGGGAATGGGGTGGGGATTGGTAAGGTATGTACCTTAATAAAAAAAAAAAAGGGGGGGGGAGGAAGTTGACCAGCATCCCAGAATTCCCTGAGATGTATCCCCTTCTCATCATGCTATGCCAATGCTAACCACTCACCTGACTTCTAACACCATCAATTAGTTTTGCCTCTCTTTATATTATTAGTATATGTGAGTATATTCATATTGCATTCCACTCATTTGTGTCCGGCTACTTTTGTTCAACATTTTCTTCTTGATATTTCTCCATTGTCAGTTTTTACACATTGTCCATTCACCTTATGCTGTGTAATGTTGTGTTGTGAAAATCTATCTTAATACTGCCAAAGTGTTTTACAGTATGTACTAATTTTCTACCAGCCAGCAAAATAGGACAGTTTAAGTGACTACACATTTGACCCCAAACTTGGTATTTTCCATCTATTTTATTTTAGTGTTTCATTGATTGTTTTTTAATCGACTAAATAAACCTCTAACAAACTCATACCAAACACGGTCTTTATTGATGGACTAGTGTGTGATGGGGGTGGGTAGGGGCAGTGCTTCATGGAGTGGAATTCTTCATCATCAAGTTCCAAGAAGAAATACAATTTGAATGACATAAGCAGAAATGTCTCAGCACAGACAAGTGTTTTTGTTTAAAATGCGGCCTTATTTTTCAGAGAATGCATTTCATTTAGGAATGAAGAGATATGCATATGGGCTAGACATTTATGGAATCTGAAAACTGACATTTTTAAGATGTTGAGGGGGGGAGAATTGTGGGACAAAAGAAAACAGTAAGAACTTTATTATCTGTAGCACTAATTTTTGAGATCTTCATAGAAAAACCATACAAAGCAGTAATTGATATGAATTTTTATTACTGTTGCAGGGTCTCCATTTTGGTGCCTATTGGATATTGTTCCCATAAAGAATGAGAAAGGCGATGTGGTACTTTTTCTGGCATCCTTCAAAGATATAACGGATACAAAAGTGAAGATTACTCCAGAAGATAAAAAAGAAGGTTTGTACTGTTTTCAGAAAACATTGACAGATGCGGCAACATTTTGAAATTGTTTATTCAAAAACTCTGAAAGAAAGTCTTTTTAAATAACAGCAACTCATGAATATTCATAACCTAAATGATCAGTACTTGGTACCTATTCCAAAATCATAGAGACTCATAGCAATTTACATTCTCTTTTTTGTATTAAAAACTCAATTGACAAGAATCCAAAGTGCATATCCCTACACAAATAGGATGAAGATAGGAAAATAATTTATCAAAATAAAAAGAATTTTACCAATTTGTTTTATTAGGGGGAAATGAATTGATAGTGACAAATAAAGTTAAAATAATGTGATTAAAAATACATCTCTCCAATTCACCTAAATTGCAGCAGCTCAATACTTAGATGTGCAAATTTCATTTTTGTACAAAATTAAGGACTCAGATTTAGTGGTTTTTAGGATGGAATGTTGCAAAGAAATGTGTATCTGTATTTGGTAGTATATGACCATATAATAATTTGTTTTATTTGCAAACAAGCTTCTCAATGATCCTTGAAGGAGTCTAAGACTATGTTGCTTACCTTTTATTTCCTGTCTATAGTTAACTAAGAAGCAAACTGCATTTTATGTCAAAATGACAAAGAATAATACTGAAAAAATGCTGCTATTGTTTTGTTTAACCAGCGGTAGAGTGAGATAATTTGGTGACCAGAGAAAAAGAGTTGCCACTGTAGGGCTTTCCTATGTTGTAAGTTATTTGTTAGAAACAGCAATTTGACAGTTCGAAAGCTATGTCTTGTTAAGAATGGGCTCTTTTACTCCAGCTTTTTTGAAAAGTGTGTGAGAGTGTTTTAAATATATTGCCTTTTGAAATGACAATACAAATGGAGAACAGTCATGGTTTGCCCCTCCCCGCTTCCTATTGTTTGAAATGTTTGCAAATACATGACTTTTTCCTGTGTATTTGCATAACTAAACACTGTGACATGTTTTACATACTTAAGGGAAGAGCTATCTTATAATTAAAGTTACTTGGATATAAGAGCAAGTATAATGGCCATCCAATGAGAGAAAGGTGTGGACATCCCTATGTATAGTTTTGTTTTTACTGTTTTCTTTGATATTTGAGAATACAAAAGATCAGTATGTACTGTTTTTATTCACATTTCTGACACCAAATGTGTGGAAGTATTCCATGCCCATTCTGCAGCTCTCTGGACACCTACTGAATGTCCTATAATTTAATTCAGTTCTGACACTAAGTATCCAGAGTTAGTGTCAGATTATTCAGGTTTAAGGGTTCCTTCCCACACTTCAGATTCTAATCACAGTATTGGGTGCCCAGGGAACACACAGACTTTTGTCCAGCTTGACTCAAAGTTGGGGATTCTCACTTGAATAATTTTCTGGAACGTATCACAGAACTCAAGGAAACACTTATATTATTACAAACTAGAAGACTGGTGCATGAAATTCGTGCACTTGCAGGGTCCCTCAGCCCAGCCTGCACCCTCTCGCAGTCCAGGAGCCCTCAGGGGATGTCCAACTGATGGCTTAGGCCCACAAGGAGTGGGCCTAAGCCATCAGTCAGACATCCTTAGCACTGCCGCGGAGATGGGAGAGACTCCAGCCACCAGCTGCTGCACTCGCCAACTGTGAGCCCGGCTCAGGGCTTCTGACTGAGCAGTGCTCCCCTGTGGGCATGCACCTACCAGCAGGGGGCAGCTCCTGCATTGATTATCTGCCCCCTCATGGTCAGTGTACATCATAGCAACTGGTCATTCCACCGTTCCGTCGATTTGCATATTAGCCTTTTATTATATAAGATGATACAACTCGGGGACAGTCAAATGGAAGAGGTACATAGGGCAAGATATGGGTCAGAGTTTTGAAGGGTTGCCATGCTCTTTCAGGGTTTGCCAGGACATATTTTTTCTGCTGCTACCTTATTGTAAATGTTCCACAAAAGTATGTAGTACTTTTTATAGAGGTAAAGCAACTACTGCAAGCCAGCATGATTATAAAATTATCATTAAAAAATAGTGAGGTATATATTTCTCTTTTCTTACCTACCCTTGATAGAGGAAAATATCTAAACATTCACAAATTGATGGCATGTATAGCAGGAAAGGCAGCCTCATGCATGATATTTTTAGAACTTTAAGATAGTGTTTGAAAATCATTAAAATGTCACCATCTAGCTGGAGCAATGTTGTATCATAGAACTAGGAATCTCTGAACTGACTTGACCCAAGATTGCTCCTTATATCAGTGTTATCACTGAAGTTCAGCTAAGTTGTAAAAATAAGGCTTGTGTTAATTAAATCAATTTCCTGCTAAGGCTCATATGATGGCCTTCTTTTTAAGAGTATAAGTTGTATACTTCCATTTTTAAAAATACTTCAAAGAATTAATATCTACATTGTCGAGTTTTTATTTGAAATGAGAAAAAAACATGTTTTATAGAAAAGGCTAACAAGGTATGTACTCAGTTTCACATCTCAATTTTCCAATCTTTTGTCATAACAGCTCATTCATCATGTTAATTTCGTTTTTTATTTAAGCCATTTTAGTATAATAATATGCCATGTTTTTTCCAGACACAGGACCCAGTGCAATTATTTTGTTTATTTCTTGCAGGGTGTCCCAGATTTGGTTTGAAATGAGGGCTGACCCTGGGTTATTCATTATGTGGCAACATCATCCATTATGCCAGAACTGGGGAATTCCAATTCCAATTTCTAAAAAGTGGGCACTTTGCTAGTACATTTGTCTTGACAATGTAGGGGTTTCTGTATGAAGCTTTTCACGTTATTTTCAGTGGTCATACAAATCAGTATTCAAATGCAATGGGTGTCTTTTTTTGCAATCTGACTTTTGACAGGCAGCTGCAGGTTACTATTAAGTACACTGACAAAAGTTTTTGTTGTTTTTTTAAATCTGCCCTTTCCTATTACTAAATAGATCCAGAAGAAATAATAACAGCTATACTAAATAATGACATATGCATTTACCTATAAGAACCTGAGCATCTAACGTAAGCATAAATAATCAGGACTTATTTTTCTCATATGTTGAAGAGTCTGGAGCTAAGCAGCCCAGGGCTAGAACAGCAACAGCAATACTCACGGGCACTCAAGACTCTTGACCTTTCTGCTCTGCTGTTCTTAACATGCTATTTGCCATCCTCATATTTGTCACCTTGTGGTTGGAAGATGCCTGCTGCACCTTTAGAATTTATTGCTGTTGCATAGACAGGAAGAGTGAAGGACAAAAGGCAAGGCTCTTCCCTATGAGGTTTTGTCTTTGAGTGGAGGAAGGAAATGTCCTTCCTTCTGCATCCCCCTCCTGCCAGGGATTTCCATCAATGTGTCATTGACCTTGACTGTGCCCTCTCTAGCAGCAATGAAGGCTATGAAATCAAGGGGTTTGGTCTACTTTTTACCCTTAAAGTAGGAATAGCCAAAGAGAAAGAGCTTGAAAGTGAGGTTAGATCAGAGAGTCTAGTATTTATTGATTATTTTCTATAAGCCAGATGGATAACCCAACATCCTACAATGTAGAAGAGTGAGACTTATGGGAGTAGGTAGAATGCCCAAAGCCTCAGGGCTGTGAAGAGGTAGAGACAGGATTGAAACCCAGGACTGTCTGGCCTAAGAGCTCATATCTTTTCACTGTGCCAAGGAGCCTCCTATCCCAACAAATGAGAGAGAATTGGAAATGAGGTGGAAAGAAGGCTGGGCTTGTCTCAGTTCCTTCCACAAATTCCTACCAATGATTGCTGTTGAAAATGAACACTCCTGCCCCAATTTGTTTTACCATTCTCATTTCTTATTTAAAGTCCTAAAAATTCAAAGTGGAGTCCAAGAGAGAACTTAATGTATTGGCATCACCTGGGAGCTCATTAGAAATGCAGAATCTCAGGCCCTGCATGAGATCTCTGAATTAGAACCTGCACTTTCACAAGATCCCCAGATGATTCACAGGCACATCAACGTTTGAGAAGCCTTGTGAACATGCATCCTTTAGAAAGGCCTTCTCTGGCTGAAACCGGTTTGGCTCAGTGGATAGAGCATCGGCCTATGGACTGAAAAGTCCCAGGTTCGATTCTGGTAAAGGGCATGTATCTTGGTTGCAGGCACATCCCCAGTAGGGGGTGTGCAAGAGGCAGCTGATCGATGTTTCTCTCTCATCAATGTTTCTAACTCTCTATCCCTCTCTCTTCCTCTCTGTAAAAAAATCAAAATATATTTTTTAAAAAAAAAGAAGAAAAGAAAGAAAGAAAGAAAGAAACCCACTTCCTCTATCACATCTCCTCCTTCATTGTCTTCATAGCATTTATGGTTATCAGTGACAATCTGTTGCCGAAAGTTTATTTTGAAATTGTTCTCCACTCCATAAAAATGGAAGCTTTATCAGAATATAGGCTTTTCCTCTCATGTTTAGGATCATAAATCCAACATGTAAAGAGTGTTCTAATAGTAAAAAAATAATTTGATTGTCAGGTGGATAAATAAATGAATGCATAAATGATGTCCAATTTAGGTAATTTGACTATTTGGAGATGGAACACAGTAACATTCTTGCTTTTTCTTAATTATCAAAGCTGTGTGTCTGAAGTGCACATTCTGATGAATGTATTGTTTGGTTGTGTTCTGCTTGATTTAAGTCAAAGATAATTTGACGGGTATTTACCAAAATCAGTTCCTTCTCAAAATGTGTCCATGCTATTGGTGTTGAGTAGCCCTTTCACTTCAAGTAGAATCTCTGCTGTTTGTTAATTTTTTGTTCTTGTTGACTCTGGGTTTGCCTTTCAGTTTCTGAGAATCTCAATTTGGTCACAATATTTGAGACAACTGAAGTTGTTTGAAGTTCTCCAAAAGGATAGGTGTTAAGCCACTGATCAGATACTAATTTAGGTCTGACATGATTATATGTACTTTGAATATTTTCATTTTCAATGTGGAACATAGTAATAATGTCCCTTTCACTTGCTGAAATATTCTACCTGAT